TCACAGCTCATCGGATTCCTCAAGTACAAATACATTTACTGAGTTAGAGTCTAATGTCAACACATTCCTGCGGAGGGAGCTGGTAGGAACGTTGGGTTGCTCGGTCAATGGCCAGGGTCAACGGCGGCGTGGTGTATTCCGCAAATATGCCCGACTGTGAGGGCTGGCACAAGCCGGCGTGAGTAGGTTAAACGTTGAGTTTTATACGGGCACCACGGGGTGACCAGCCCCTCCCCACCCAGCCCCACCCCTCCCACCCCCCACCCAGCCCCACCCTCCCCACCCAGCCCCTCCCCACCCTCCCCACCCAGTCCCTCCCCACCCTCCCCACCCAGCCCCTCCCTGCACGACGGACACAATAATCCCATGTGGGCTGGTGTAACCAGGAGGTTCCTACCAGTATTATACGTTTCCACATGTTCCATCCTCCTGTTCCGAGATCCCATTGTACCATTTTGCTGTCGGCTACACCTTACCATCTGGTCGAAGGTCTTCCTTGTTTTATCTTCCGTGTGTCAGTTTCCAGTGCGTTCGATTTCGTGGAAACCTCTTTGCAGTATCCATCTTTTTCCATCTTTTAGCAGAAATCACACCTTCAATGGCAGGAAAAGGCCTTTACTTTAATTTAAAAAAAGTGGAATCGGGTTGAGTTTACGCTGAAAAAGGCCGTAACTGCTAAAATGATTGTACAATGACAGCAACAGGCCTCCATGTGATTCGGGTCCCCTATGTTTTGGGTACAACTTGAGATTGAGTTCATTTAAATGCAAGAAACGTACACACTGAGAATATCCGCAGGCACCTTCGCAAACATCCAGGGCAGCGACAAAACGTCATTCCATTGTTGCAAATTGACAATGGCTCTGTTAGTGGCAATTTCAAAACAACTGCGTTGTATTATATGCCCAAGGCATAGAGATCTTGGCAAGGACAGTCTGCGTTATTGTGCACGGAGTTTTCGATTCTGCAACAACAACAAAAAGACTTGAACTGCCCTTCGACTTCGATCAACATATTGTTTTTGCTGAGCAATACAGCTCAGGTGTTCGTGTATACTTAGTGCAGAGCGTAACGAATTGCAGTAATTCTCTCCACGTTAAAGTGTGCCCTATGAATGATTAAACTGCCAATTAACCACTGCACGCTGTGTTAAGCGTAAATTGTCGTATGTAACCCACGCATGTTTCGTATCGTGTCACCTCGCGCGAAACGCCGAACGCTTTCGGAGCCAAAAACACAATTCCATGTCGCCCGCGCGCTCCTGCCCGCCTTCTGCCGCGGCGAGGGTTTATTTAATTTGGAGTGAAGGTGCACAGCAGCAGAGATGATGTCTGGAATGGAGTCAACACCCGTGTTCCCCACGTCCATCCCTCTCCCAGTTCACCGCTGCCATGCCCTCCCCTCCGCGGCTCCGTCGCCAAAACCTTGCCTCCTTCCTGGCCTCTCCCCCACCCCACCATTCTCCCATCGTGTCATGGTGCTACGTCTCCGTAACGGCTTCTGACACGAATATCGCCACCTAAGTTCTGCTTATTTCCATACGAGCGAGAAATTGCCACCCTTCGCCGTTGCAATCGTGCGTCTGAATGCTAAGTGTGATCGCAATACACTGTACGTGCAGCCGGTGTATATCTATATATATTTAAGCATCCTTATATATTATCCATCATCATCGTCATCATCGAGTACGTCAAAGTGCTGCACTGACTGTTGAGCAATGAACAAGTCTGTTATCAGTTCTAGATTTGAAGATTTCGTGACTGCAAGGATTCATATTCTTAGGTTTTTTCGGTAAAGTCACGTAGATAAAAAATGGAACCGTCACAGCACGCTTGCTGTATCAAGTAAATGAGAAATTCCAAGAGACCCGACCTTGTATATATACTGGTTGAGGGGGGAGGAGCCAGGGTAGGCCCCTGGATAGAAGTTTTTTTTCATCAGTACCGTTCTGACCTGCCCATTCTGGACATCTGTGAAAAAGAGCTTAATTGCTCATCGGATTCCTCCAGCGTAAATACATATTCTGATGATGATATTGGTCGCGAGCCAGTTGGTAGAAGTTGCTTAACAATTTGACCAGAACCAGTCTATGCACAGGACAATGCATGTAGGTTGACATTCTTTCCCACCGTACGTAGCCATCCGTGCTAATCGGAGGCAGATAGATTTGGCAATAATTACACCGCAAATATCGACAATTCACTTTGAATCAATGGTATAAATAGATATGCCCTTTTCCCAGGAACGCTTTGCCTAGATTCAATACTATTGTCAGGAGCGTTCTGTATTGGCATGTTTGGCCGATTACGTAAATGAGCGTTTGAAATGCGTAAAAAAAATACCGGAGTGTTATAGCAATCACATCTCCGAACAGATATATTGACAAAACCATTCCTGTGCCACCATATCCTGGCTACCTTGCATTAAAGCTCACACACACATTGCGGTCTGGTATTCCCAGACCGTCACCCATCCAAATACGAGCAAGGCGCAGACGTATCTCGCTTCGGAGGCATTCATAATAATTTGGTCACGGGAAAGGGGCCGTCCATAAAAGACGTCACGTACCTAGGGGGGACGGGGGGGGGTCAGACATTTGTGACGATGTGTGACGAGGGGGGGGGGGGGTGAGAAATGTGATGTTACATCAAAATGCGCAATTTTAAATAAAACTAGACAACACATTCTACTTAATTAAATAGACTTTTCATAAATGTTCATCTTCTTGGTTCTTTCGGTAAAGTCACGTAGAAGGGAAGTAATAAAATAATAAAAATAAAACATAATAAAATAAAATAATTCTCACGACGTTTCGGCTACAACGCAAGCAGCCGTCTTCAGGTGAAGAATGCGTTGTAGCCGAAACGTCGTGAGAATTATTTTATTTTATTATGTTTTATTTTTATTATTTTATTACTTCCCTTCTACGTGACTTTACCGAAAGAACCAAGAAGATGAATCCCTGCAGTCACGAAAGCTTTAAATCGAAATTTTCATAAATGTTTTCTCCTACATCAGAGTGCAGCGGCACATTTAATACGCACTACAATGACAAGAGTTTAAAGCGATTTGAAGCATGTTTTATTTATTTATTTATGGGGGGGGGGGGCAGAGCTTTGTGACGTCATATTTGAGGGGGGGTCTGACTTTTTGTGACGCCGTGTAACGATGGAGGGGAGGGGGGGTAAAAATTTGTCCAAAATCGCGTGACGTCATTTATGGACGGCCCCAAAACCGGTTTGCCCTGAAGCAAGCGGCGTTCATTTATCTGGCCCCCTTCGGTAACAATGAGGATGGGCTTAGGCGAGCCTGTCTAGGATATGGTAGTTGTGCCACTCTACCAAAGTCATACCCCCAATCAGTAGTCATATTATACACCGAATGGGTATGTCTTCGCGTTTTAGATTTGAAGCTTTCGTGACTGCAAGGATTCATATTCTTTGGTTTTTTTTTCCGGTAAAGTCACGTAGGTAAAAAATTAAAATTATTTTACTTTTATTAATTTAAATTTTTTACCTACGTGACTTTACCGAAAAAACTGAAGAATATGTCTTCGCGGTTGTGCAGTACAACGCTCAGATGCGTTTTCGGTTTGTTCCAAGGCATGCGCGAATAACCCGATCGCAGGCCAAGGAAAGCTGTAATAGCAACGCCTGCCTTGACATATCAACGACCACCCCACCCCCCACCATGCCTTCCGAACCAAAAGGATAATGAGAGTTGAGTGGAGCCCTCAACTGATTAAACCAACGGCGTTTATTTTGCAACAATTGGCAAGACCGGTTTGGACGTCGCTCCCCTGTGGCGCCACCTTTCGGACGATGTGGACACTAACTTGGGTATAATTTTCGATTTAAAGGTTTCGTGACTGCAGAGATTCATCTTCTTGGTTCTTTCGGTAAAGTCACGTAGAATGGAAATAATAAAATAATAAAAATAAAACATAATAAAATAATTCTCACGACGTTTCAGCCACAACGCAAGTAGCCGTCCTCAGGTGGAGAACAAGTCTGTCTCCTCATTCTACGTGACTTTAGCGAAAGAATCAAGAAGTTGGGTATAATTGTATTGTACCAAAGGCTGCAGTCACACAGCTGCACGTGCTTGGTTTATCCGCATTGACGGTGGATGACATTGGTCCCGAGATGTGAACGCGTCTTTTTTACCTGCGAAATAGGCACAGGGACAAACGCAGATTATGCACGAACTTTAAAATATATATTTGATTGCTCAATTTTATTTTTGCAGGCGATATTCGGAATTGGTACATTTGTAAGTGCATGCTTAATTGGGGAGCTATTACAAAAGTGATGATTAACTTCAATTGACACTCACCAGGTCAAAGAGTTAAATGAATACATTTAATTACGCGGGTGGGCCCTTTCAGATGTATTCTGCCATGGATTAGCAGTCATGGTTTAAAGGTTCACCATCAAAGGCGATGTGTGTTGAATTGTCACGAATCAAGCATGCAGTTTGATCGAATCCGTTTTGTGTCGTCCTTACCATACCGCGTGTATTGTTTCTCGTGTCTTGGCCTCATTGGTACACTGACATATCAACGAATACGTTTTATTGGGAATACCAAGGCCGAACAAAGCTGCATAAATGAGATGGATGTAAAATATAAAACAATACAAACGAGATGGTCAAACGACACAAAAATGACTAAATTTCTGAGGTTGGCAGTAGTGGGGAGGTGGTGAATCATAACAGCCTTGTAAGACACAGGATCATATAGACAAGGCAGTGAGGAGCAGTGGATGTGAAATGTGGGTGTACCCAGGCTGTGGGTGGCGGTGGCTAGGAGCGGGTGGCCGTGGGTCGCTGTGGGGAGTCGTGGATGGCTGTAGGTGGTAGTGGGTGGTGGGGGGAGCGAGCAACTGGGAAGCGGTGTGGGGGCGGGGGGTGCCACGGTGAGAATTGGACGGGGCTCTATGGGGTAGACGTGCGGCTCGCGCGGTGCCGTGCTGTGTGCGCGCGAGCGCGAGATGCGTAAGCGCCTGTGGGAGGCATTCTCGCTCGCGCTCTGCCCCGCGGTATATTCCTGTGCGAGGCCACTCGGAGGCGATCCGAGAGAATTCCAGAAACCTCTCCCGAGGTGAAAGGTCACCGTGAAAGTGTCCGAGGAAGGTAAGCCCCATGCCGTTTCACCTCCGTTGGAATTGTGACGTGCGTAAATGTAGTGTTTGTACGGACGAGATTGAATGGTGCGTTAAGCTCACGACGGTTGTGCCTGAGTTGACCGACATGCATAACTCTGTGTCACACGACACGAGTACGGTGTCGCATTGAGACTCGCGAGCCAGTGTGTGTGTTTGTTCAATTCATGTCAATCGATGAATTACCTAATATAGGGCGAGGAATTAATTGTCCTGAGGCTATGAGATATCGATCAATGTTTTTCACCACCGGTGAGTTCGCAGATGTTAACGTGTACACCGATGATGCAATTTGTATTCACCTTTACAGAAATGGCTAATTTATTTTAATTATGTCTCCATTTAAATCAAGATCTCATTCTGCAGATAAAGTTAGTGCAATGTATGTGCGGCAACGGTCGAACAAAAAAGGCATCGGAAAGACAGAAAAGGAACAAAAGGATGAGAGAACGCTCAATGCACAAGAGGATAACGGCATCATTCAAATTCATATAACCAAGAATAAATTCATATTCTTGGTTCTTTCGATAAAGTCGTGACTTTATATGAATCCCTGCAGTCACGAAAGCTTTCAATCGAAATCATTCAAATTGTTAAGGAAAGTAAGTGGGCTTGGGCAGAAAACGTCGTCGCTGGAATGGTTGATGGCTCATAGCCAAGAATAATATTTCTAACAGGGTGACAGCCAAGGAGTAGAACACTTTCACAAGGAGATGGAGCGATCAAAGCAGCCTGCGTGCTGGCGCTGGGTGGATTATTACATCGCATGATCATGAGAGGTGGCGGCGGCTTGGGAAGAATTTCATCCAGCAGTGGATTGGCCATGGCTGATGATGACGATGATACAGAAATGGAGATATATATGTTAAGAAAACGACACTGCCTTAAACTTCGTATGTTTTTTCGATTTGATTTTCAAAATGCTTCAATTACCTTTCACTATTGTACTGTGTATTGCAGGTCCCCCTTGCAAAAAGACACGTCTACACTCGATGGGCTATCACCTGGTTGAAATCAAAGGGAAATGAAGGAACTAACGAATTAAATGCACCAGGCTCGGAGCAATAGATGCACGTGAAGAGATAGAATAAATAAATAATATTTTATCTGGAAAGTGCTGGACGTCAGTTGGAAAAAAATAAAGAAAAAAAACCTCACTGCCATAAACGAGCACTCTCTGATGCTTTTACCTCTAATCTATATTGAGAAGCTTCCCCTTAGATGTTAATATTTCAAAGGCAATATGCAGTCTGTAGCGATATCGTGTCATGGTCAAGAAACATTCCCGTAAGAATGCATCCAACTAAGTTCAGTGCCTTGCTGTAGGAGGTAAATTTCAGGCTGCGTCATGGATCGTTGTTTGCTCAACTGATTGCAGCGAATGCAATGTGTGTGCGAGCTTTAAATGCCACGAGGAGATGCACCGTGGTGAAAAGAGCCTTTGTGGGTTTTTTTTTTTTAGTATTGGTATTTTTCTTTTTACCGACTTTGCAAACGTTATCGAAAACCTTTCATTTCCCCCCATCATCATCATCATCATCTTCAAGGTGTGGAACGTCCGTTACCGACCACCTCTGTCACCATCAAAAATCTTTACCCGAATCAATAACCATTACCATCGAGTTATTATGAACGGCTGATCGCACCAGATTGCTTATCCACATTGGAAGAGGCAAGATGGATATAGGCTGCATGAGCACGCAAAGGGAAAAAAAGCTGATGGTCAAAACCACACAATTTTAATCCCCAAGTCAGTTGAACCCATCTCTTCTAATTAGTCTTCCGGTAAAGTCCAGCTCGCGCCTATGATAAACGACACTTTAGGAGCAGGGGATATTAACGGCCTATTTGTTGAGGTTTTTTTTTGCTGACAGCTGCCGCTCGCTTTACTCGCAAAGGTTTGAGAGATCAATACATCGCTCAGGGCGGCCCTTCCTCTGCCAATGCTGGATATCACATGTGCAGAGCAATACCGCGGTGGGCAATCTGTACTGCAGCCACTGCGATTAGATCTGTGATGATGTGATCTACAACCTGTTCAAATGTGTTTAAACATATGTGTGTGTTTTGGATCGTATATTGGCTGAGGATGTAATGCCATTGCATGACACCGAGAAAAGTCTCATCGAGCCTGGGGACTTTTTTTGTTATTCAGAGGACCTGCAATTCGCATATTTGGCCAATTTCATTAGTGAGTGTTTGGCTTCATGTGGGAGGAAACCAGAGAACCCAGAGGAAATCCATCATGCATACAAGGTGGTAATGCTCAATGAACTATCCACACAAGTAGATTTAAGAATACATTACTCAATCCCCTGACCACCTCGCAGCCCAAACCTACAACACGTGGTATCCCCAGGCAGGTTCCCATCCTAAAATACTAACCAGGCACAACCATGCTTAGCCTCTGAGAACGGAAATAAGCACGATTCATTGCAATGTGCGTCACATTCAGTGTCATTTGGTTATAGGCTATTTTACATTCAGTTAGCGGTGCGTGCGAGTGTGTCCGTGTCGAATGCGAACATTACCTGGGCTTCGCGTATATCGACTCATTCTGAAACGACGGCTCCGTATTTTGTGTCTGCATCAGAAGTTTGGAAACAAAGGCGGATGAGCGCAGTGTTGGCCTCTCCACCTCCTGGTGCAAATCTAAATATAGGTCAATGCCAACATTCAAGGAGTCTAAATGGGAGATATCTGTCCTTTAATGTTTGCTATTTGCAATAGCCACTTTCATGTTGTCAGAACCGACTACAAAGCCGATGGGGTGCACAGAATGTGAAGGCCGCACTTCTGTGCCGCAAATACATGACAAGCGAAAAAGGTTGGCAGGTAAGGTGAGTTGAAAAGTGAGGAGCTACCCTGCATACATTAATGTGAAGATGCTGGCTGGAGAACCAAGGAATGGTTTAGACTACAGCGGGTATGTTGATGCACTTTCGCAAATGCTATTGGATTCATCTTCTTGGTTCTTTCGGTAAAGTCGCGTAGAAGGGAAATAATAAAATAATAAAAATTAAACATAATAAAATAATTCTCACGATGTTTCGGCCACAAACAGCCGTTGTGGCAGAAACGTCGTGAGAATTATTTTATTATGTTTTATTTTTATTATTGTATTATTTCCCTTCTACATGACTTTACCGAAAGAACCAAGAAGATGAATCCCTGCAGTCACGAAAGCTTTAAATCGAATTGCTATTGGATTGCTACACAAAGCGAGGCATGCAGAGTATTCCCCGCATTGTGATTGATCCAAATAATTGCGTTCAATTACGCTAAATGCCCATTATCTTAGATCAGTCGCAGACGTTCTGCTATGCTTACTCATAGCCAGTTTACCAATTTAATGCATTTTGTTTAATCTCATGGAATGCCATCTTATCGGTGTAGGATATTATGCAAGTTCGCCGTAATGCGGTAATGTAATATCATCATCATAATCAGCCACGGTCAATCCAGTGCTGGTCTGAAGGTCTCCCAAAAACCTCTGTCATCTCTCGCAATCCTGTGACGTAGAAATTCACCTGCACACGAGCCGATTTCGTTACTCCATCTCCTTGAGGATCGTTCTCTGGGAAGCGTTCCACCCATGAAATACTGTATAATGTATACTTAATAATAATGTAATTTCAACACCGTGTACCAATATTCTGCACGGAGGGTGCAATATTTCAGGGCACTTTGTACTGCACTATGAACCCCCTGATGACAATCGTTCACTTATTGGCGCGGCTAACATCGACGTGAACTGGTCCTGAGCCGACCCCCCACCTGAGCAAGGTGCGTTGACCAGCTCGGTGAAATATGACCGAAACAACCCCCAAAGACCAACTCGGCATGGCGAGGGAGGCCTTCATTCAGCCTGGGATTGACAAAACTGGATTTAGATAATTGATTGAAATTAGCGCTTTTTTTAATTGCAAAAGTTGATATCAAATCCCCCATGCCCCTGTCCACGCAAATGTTTTAATGAGCACACCGCAGTTCGTGCGATCGGCAAGTCTCATATGCTGGGATGACGTGTGGGCAATAGAATTACCCCCTCACTCAATCTCTCTCGAGTAGAGGAGGGCCTTGCCGTGAGTCGTAACATCAGCAAGCAATTACAGGGCGACGTCGTTACCTTTTAACGTGCGTATATTCTGCATGGCTGTCCGCGCATCGCTCAGAATTTGAAAGATTCGCGATTGCCAAGGTGCAGAGCGGCAGGAGATTTTGTTTCCGTGTGACCGCGTGCGTTCGCTTTGATGACAAAAACATTTGCTTTTACAATGATCGCAGTCTGTGTCTGCACATCAGGTACTCACTCCCGGATCAATAAAGCCGTTGTCGCAGCCCACACGGCCAAACATTTGCAGTGAAACAGCCACAACATTCAGGCAGTGGTGCAAAAGTGACCTAGAATATGTTTTTTTTCATCTTTCTCCCTGCCCAGCTCACATGCACATCGTGATAAGTGAAACAATAGTTCATAAAAATGAGCCTTTCTTCAATTACCATATATTTACCACATCTGGTGTAGATAATAGCCCCATGCTGCGTGGCAATGTAATCATTGCGAGAACCATTTGCAGCCAGCGTTGTTGTGTGCCACACAAAAGTGCACCTCACGCTGCAAATGCGCATTTTTGGCAGTGCAACGGGACCCATCTGTGATATTGAGTGCGGGTGTGTGTTGGTTTGTATGCATATGGGAGCGGTAGTGTAGCGGTTAGCGTGCTGCGCTATGAACCTGGCGACCCGGGTTCGATTCACGCTCACGGCCAACACCGGTGACGATTATCTGAACCGGTCCTGGGCCTCCCCTAGGTCGACTCAGCCTTAAATGAGTACCTGGTGCGGTGTGTAAACATCGCCACTGGGGAGACAAAGACGGTCGGGCGTGATGCTGGCCACCCACCTTCTCGTGTACCGTTCCGGCCTTCATATGTGCTCGCTAACAGCACTTGTCCCTACAGTCTGTTAAGGCTATATGGGAGATCTTTATCTTTATATGGGAACTGGCAATGCAGTGGTTGGCGCACTGCGCTACGAACACGGCGACCCGAGTTTGATTCCCGCTGACGGTCAACGTCAGTGACGAATATCTAAACCAATCGTGGGCCTTCCCTAGGTCCACTCGGCCTGAAATGCGTGCCTGTTGCCTGTGTCAACATGAGCACTAGGGGCGTGCGTGGTGCAGAGCCGCGGAGTGACGGATGCGGGGGTTGGGATGGGTTGGGATGCGGACGAAATTACCCCCCACCTCGCCCTCTTGAGGCCTCGAAAATTATTATTTTATTGATACCTATCTGAGAAAATGTTTTGTTTTATTATCAAAAGCGTAATATGTTGGGACTGTGCCCCCCGTTCCTTGAGAAGTTTCTCGATCAGCAACGTCTCTGTGGCTACCACTGCTGCGTCGCGTGCGCTCGTTCCGCGCCTACGACGAGCACGGTGTAGCTACGTAGGGTGCGAAAGAAGTTCAACCTGCATACACGCGCGCATACATACGCCCCGGCCTCAATAGGCGCTCGCCAATAGCACTTACGTCCGATCACCACCACCACCGTATACATTGACGAGACTACACGGGGACCACATTAGGTTGTGTGCGCCAGAGTAAAGAGGTGTGTGCCTGCGTGAACACATGGCATATGTGTGTGTGTGTGTGCGTGGGGCCATCGCGCATGACCAGCTGCATCGCGCGGGGCGCTTCGCCGGCGTGTTTGTGTGTGAGAGAGAGAGAGTGCGTGGGTGTCCTGGTGTATATAATATCAGGAGGTGCGTCAACGTCCGATCCGCTGCAAAGGCGTTACACGCACTCGGCGTTCGTAGCAACGACCCAAGTTTGATGTGCGCGGGGGAAGGAATTTGAAAAAAGGTGCGCCTAGGTGAGCCGTCGTCTTCTTTTGCTGCTGCTGCCGATGGCAGCGATGTAGATAGCGGTGCTATTTCCCGCGTCGTCGCTTGCCTAATCGGGCATCGCATTGCTTCAATTGTGTTAAAGTGCCAGAGAATATCGACCTGCTGCCCGGAACAAAGCTGAACTTCCGCGGTTGAGCATAGCAGCTGATGCATTCTATTCCAGAACCCATCGCGACGCGTGGCGGCGGCGGCGGCGGTGGTGGCGTCTCTGGTACCGCAGCGAACTCTCTTGCAAGAACAAAAAATTCGTGGATTTTCAAACCGCGCGCCAATTGCGTTGTTTGAAGCGCTCACGTGCAGCAGCGATGGTCCGCTTGCTAACAGCGCCCTGCATTGTTCGCGACGTGCTGATCGGCGTGCCTATCTCCTTGCCAGATGAAACCCGCCTTATCTTGATGCCCCGCGGGCTCACCAATCGCTCTCTAAACGGCAATTGCGTCCATCGGGGGCTCGCTGTGAATCGTTAGCGCTAATGCCATTGCCGCTTTCCCACAGATAAGCCCTGCAGGTGACGCGGGGGAGGGGGGGGGGAGAGCCGAATCGCGCAGGTGTTTGGAGGAGAAAGCAAGAGGAAGCTGTCGTGCGGATCCGACCTCGCGCGCTCTCCTTCGCCATGGCACCGGAGGACCTGGAGGTGGACATCAACACGACGCTGAGCGAGGAGCGAGGAGACGACGCGACCGAGACGTCAGGCGCCGAAGGCTGGGCTCTCGCGTCTCCCGAGAGCGGCCCGCAGCCCAGCCTCGTCGTCGCGTCTGAGCTCGGCGTGCGGGACAGCACCAAGCTCCTGGGCGTCCAGGTGGTGCTCATCGCCGCCTACTCCATCATCATCCTGCTCGGCGTGGTGGGCAACTCGCTGGTCATCTACCTGATCGCGCGCTACCGCGGCATGCGCACCGTCACCAACTACTTCATCGCCAACCTGGCGCTCGCCGACCTGCTCGTCAACGCGCTCTGCCTGCCCTTCACGCTCGCCTACACCCTCACGGACGAGTGGAGCTTCGGCTCCGTGCTCTGCCACCTGGTGCCATTCTCGCAGGCGCTCGCCGTGCTCGTGTCGACGCTCACGCTCACAGCGATCGCGCTCGACCGCCAACGCTGCATCGTGCATCACCTCGAGAGCCGTCTGTCGCAGCGCGTCAGCTTCATCATCGTGGCCGCCATCTGGGGTCTGGGTGCCGTGCTCGCGTGCCCGCTGGCCGTCTTCCGCGAGTATCACCACGTGGAGTTCCCGGGACTCGGCCGCAGAGCCGTGTGCACCGAGAGCTGGCCGGGCGGCCAGGAGCGCGACGCGATCATCTACAGCGTCTCCATGCTCGTGCTGCAGTACGTGCTGCCGCTGTGCGTCATCACGTGCGCGTACGCGCGCATCTGGGCCAAGCTGAGGAGCCACGTGAGCCCCGGAACGAGCGGCCGCGCCAACGTGGACCGCCAGTGCCGTCGCAAGAAGACGACCAAGATGCTGCTGAGCGTCGTGGTGGTATTCGCCGTCAGTTGGCTGCCCTTCAACGCCTTCCAACTCGCCAGCGACATCCACGGCCGAGTGCTGGACCTGTCAGAGTATAAGCTCGTTTACACGCTGTTCCACGTGGTGGCCATGTGCTCCACCTTCGCCAACCCGTTCCTCTACGGGTGGATGAACACCAACTACCGCAACGGCTTCCTCACCGTGTTCCGCTGCGAGCGAAACACGGACGCGATCCGGCCCGAGACTGAGTTGGCATCGATGCGCACGCGGTCTCTCAGGGACGGACCTCGCCGACAACTGCAGCAGCAGCAGCAGCAATGTGTGGCCTCTGGAGTCAGAGCCGACGCCACGTCGGGCAGGACGCAGACAACCACCAGCAGCTTCATAGACGGCCGCCGTAAACGCGTGCTGGCGGAGAGGGATGTGGAGCGGCATGGGAGGCCACTCGCCGGCACAGCGGACGAGAAAGCGCCTCTGCCCAGTGTGGACACGTAACATTTGATCGAATGTATGTCGACTATGGCCTGGCAGTTGCGCAGTGGTTAGCGCACAGCGCTGTGGTGAGCCTGGCGACCTGAGTTTAAATCCCGCCTTGGGCATCATAGCCCATCCACCCTCCTCACCCCAACGCTTTCACCAACCGGCGCTGACCAGCGTCCTGAAGTATGGTCGGGCAACCCCTTTGACCGACAGCAGTAGATTGACGAAAGGCCGCACACCGACGGTAGTGTACTGGTATACGCTGCCTATAACATTGTTGTTTCAGTCGGTGCCGGATTTGTAGCAGTTCGGCCAAGGTGATGTGTTTAAGGTTTTTTCTTCTTATACAAAAGCAAAATAATTTATCGGCGCAGGGAGCCGTGGATTTGAGACAACGGCACGGCATCCTACAATGTGCGTTCGTGTTTCATTTGATGGTGGTGGTGGTGATGATGATGATGACAATGATGGTGTGTGTTGCCTGCAGTCAGTATACCTCCGATACGACGCATGAGTGGACGATATTCAAGGCTTCAACCCGAGCAGACGACCAACCGTTCGGCTCGCCGTGAAGGTCTCACGCACGCAACGAACACGCGAGCATTCGTGCGCAGAGATCGCGTGAAGATCGCACAGAGAACTGTGCTTGCCAAGGAAGCCGAATTTGTAACGACTGCATTAATTGTTTTTTTTTTACGGAGCGCACCTTTTAATGAACGAGATGCTATGTATTTGGCTACTGCACAGTTACGTACCAGTTGCGTATCTCATTAACACGTGGTAGGCTTTCGCGACGAATATCATCCATAATACAGGTTTTTTGGGGGGTTAGATCGCGTAAATATATAAATGTGTCGTTAAACCCGCCACCACCCGACACAGCCAACTAGTAATGTTTGTCACCTAAGCAGAACACTTCGCGCAAGAAGATCACACAAGTGTAGTCATCACATCTACCCCTCTATTTAAGGAACGAAACAGGAGGACTTCTCCACAAATCTGGCTGTCGCCTGATGAAGCTAGTTGTAATTACTGGCGAAACGTTGTACTGAGATTGTAAATGTTGTGGCTTGGCTCTCCAACACACAACCGGTTAGTGCTGTACTAGTATACTACACTACTATACACTACACTACACACTACACTATACACTAGTGCTGTACTAGTATACTACACTACTATACACTACACTACACACTACACTATACACTAGTGCTGTACTAGTATACTACACTATACACTACACTATACACTACACTATACACTACACTATACACTACACTATTCACTAGTGCTGTACTAGTATACTACACTATACACTACACTATACACTACACTATACACTACACTACACACTAGTGCTGTACTAGTATACTACACTATACACTACACTATACACTACACTATACACTACACTACACACGAGTGCTCTACTAGTGACGAATCGGCATGTTCTGTTTACGTGTTTAACCTTAATACATTGGCTGTGTCAGGTGGTGGCGGGTTTAACGACACATTTACATGTTTACGCGATTTTACCCCAAAAAAAACTGCATTATGGATGTGTACCTTTTGTTGACGAATTCACTCGTGAGCACTTAATGGATCAATGACCAATGGAACCACCAACATTACATACGAACTCAATTGGAGTTCAATTGGTCGTAGAACACTCACTATACGCCCACAATGAGGCTGTAATAATCACTATTCAAGTGTTTAAATTCAGATATTTCTGTTTGCAATAAAGCAAAAGGAAAATGCTTTAACGGCGAGTGTTGTTATAGCGTAGGCGGGGCGCGTAGTGGATCGTGATCCTGCTAAGAAACTTGCCACCTGAGTTTAATTCCCGGCTACAGCTCACATGCCCACCTCACTAGCCCGACGCGCAATTGACCAGCACGGTGAAGTATGATTACACAACCACCCGTGACCAAGGCAACGTGGCGAGGCCTTTGTCCATTCAATGTGTCGACCAAGGACTGCGAACTACAGCGACAACACGGCATATCGCAATACCTTGAGCGCACTTCCATTTACTGTGGCAACAAAAAAATGATGAGTGGTTCCTTTTATTTCAGTGAGCAGTGTGCAATTACACGGACTTGACTCACAATTGCACAGGCATTGCACAGGCAGGGATAAAAAAAAGCAACTAACATCACAACTGAATTCAACGGAAACCACTGCTGGATTTTTTTTGTGTTTGTTTGCAAGCGTTGTTTGTTCAACCTTGCTATTGTGACTCGCTATCAAGTGCACACTCTCCAATTGTAACGAATGCCAGCGTATCATTGATACGCCACTCATTATTGATGTAAATGTTAATCTATATTTGTGCTGAACCACCATTTGATGCCTTAAACCGTCGCCCGTATACAGTAATGTAGGAATACGCTTTTATTTGACACAGCATAGCATTTCCGTCGTAAACATAGTTTTCAAACAATTATAATACCGTACACGTGGATGCAGCGTTTAATTGTTTTGTTCTTGTGATTATAATTCTATAAAATAATAAGGGTAGATGGAAACTGGTTGTAAGATATACAAGTGGTTTATATATTGTATATGCTGACTATTGTGGTGATATGCGTACTCGTTTACACTTGTGATTCCTTTTTGGATATCGTTTTGTACAACTGTGAACCCTGTAAAATGGAATGTCTCAAAAAGAAATAAAGGAGAGGATGATCATGCATGTTATCTGCAGAGTCTAACGCATGACGGTGGCGCGGTGGTGCAGCGGTTCGCCCAGAAAAAAAAAACAAACCCGAGGACCTGAATTTGATTACTAGTCATGGCGAGCATAAGTGGCGTGTGATGTCTGAACCCTCCCCCTGTACCCCCCCTCCCCTAACCCTCCTCCCTCCCTCTCCAACACTGGACACCAGAACATATAGGTTTAGACAGTCTACGTTCCAAAAAGCTTTTCATTTAGTCCACGCTGCCATTGTGTGAGAAGCAGGTCATTAGTTGACGTGCATCGCCGACATATGAGAGATATCGTAGGCACTCGAGATTCAGTTTTTAAAGCGCAATGCAGCCATGGGCAAGCCATTCCTGCAGTGCTGACCTTCGCGCAGCCATTGCACGTGCAGCCGAATTAAGACTGAGTGCTGCGCAAACAATGATTTTCTATATCATTACCCGTGACGCGAGGATGCCATTGGCACCTGGCAAGCCCAGCCAATGTGCATTCGCACAGCAAAGTGCGTTTGCCGTTTTTGCGAATATTTACTGAGAATCATTATCCATGCTCGAGCCGCTTGCTGGACGCAGGATATCCGCAAGTCGTTGCTATCTCTCGCAATCCGTCTAGCACCTGCTCTCGAATTGACCTAATTGTTTCATCTCCACGGTGTGCGTCTGCAAAAGAGTTGGCCGCGTTACGTGAATACTTTTAAAGACTTTAATTAGGCTGGTGCAACTTCGAAAGCCTTCTCCCGTCGTATCTAACGTAGGGGTGGTTGTTCGTGAGTGGCGGAGTGAGTGCTATAATAACGGTCATTTGCACGTCTCTGTCAATCCACGTCTCTGCACCGTGCAAGTCAATGGGTTTGGTGATGTCCCCCCCTCCCCCTCTTCAAAAAATTTTAATGTTTTTTTTAAAATAAACCTGCATTGCGTTTTAAAGGATACGGAAGCAAATATGACGCCATATATATGTTTTTATGTGCCAGTTTTCGGGTACATTTTGGAAGAGTGTGACCCCTCCAGTTGATATCGTCAGTCGACAAACCCCAACATTCAGTTACAGTGCTGGCATTTCATAAATTTCAGACGTCTTGAGATTTTCATTGGATGCCAACTCTCGCATAACTCCCCCCTCTGTCGCGTAACGAGTAAAATATCTCGATTTAAAGCTTTCGTGACTGCAGGGATTCATCTTCTTGGTTCTTTCGGTGAAGTCACGTAGAATGGAAATAATAAAAATAATATAAATAAAACAATTAAATAATTCTCACGACGTTTCGGTCACAACGCAAGCAGCCGTCCTCAGGTGGAGAGCAGGTCTGTCGAATAGACAGAGTAAAATATCCCATTGCAATGCAGCTTTGCCAGGTACGTTCTGCCAGAGCGAATATTTCTTTCAAAGTTCATCCCATAGCTCGTTGCGTCTCTGTAATGTGCGCAGCTGCAAATGCAGCCTGCGTGAGGGGCTTTTTGCTTTTCGCGACTGAAACTCAATTTCGCCTCTAATAACAAGGTCGGCCACCATGCTGTAGGGGCATCCAGCTGGTGGTTCCATTGAACCCATGACCTTTAGAAACTGAACCCCACATTTTCAGCCACATGCATTCAGAGGTGATACGGCATGCATAATGCATATGTGTGCGCACACAATATATGTATGTATGTCTCTCCATCCGTGTGCTTGTCTGAGTGTATGCATGTATGTACGTCTGTCTTCCTTAGTGCGCTTCCAAACGTCAGGGGACAGTTGCATGAAATAACGTAAGTGTATACATTCCGTTCGCCTCCGATTTCAATTAAGGGACCTTTTCACTTAAGGTATTGTATGCAACTGACCTCACGTCTTTGGCCCAAACTCCCTCTATCAGTCCGATCTTAAGCTGTCTCTTTCAATTCACTGTGCAGGCCCCTTCCATCAAGTCTTCAAGCAGCATCAGTATTTTCCTGCCTCTTGGCCTCTTTCCCAAATTCCTTCCAGAACTTCCTCCATCCAGCTTTCACCACTTACAATGTGTCCAATCCACATCTCCTGCCCTTCCATGATGTCTATACGCTTGTATATAATCATCAGCGGCGGTTACAGGGTCGTGCATTTCCATCACTCGACCCACTCGAGGAACATATCTTACCGTTAATAATTTAAACTGTCGATCCACTGCTGGATGAAGGCCTATTTCCCCACGCCGTGTCAGTCAGGGGGTATTGTTTAACAAATACTTTACCTTGCTGACCAATGCAGGTCGGTGAAAATGTGAGGAGTGGGATTGGGTCAGATACCACTATCGGGGCAAAGCAGAGAAAAATGATCGTGATCTGTGTGGACGCAAAATACCGTAATGTGTCCTAAACGAACTCCGCTGTGATAGTAACACAAAGGAAGCCATCCTATGAAGCTATACCGTTGCGCAAGAGCGTGTGAAATTAAAACGCGCTCATGCATCACCCACAGAGAAGCGATATGGTAAGTCTGGCGAGCATTGCTTACCGTATCGATAATAGGCACATCTCCTGATATGCATCACCAAATGTTCTGTGCGTGTCAAACGCTGCCACACACAAAACATGTCCCCATCGCGACGTATTTAATGTACAGTATCACCATATGCTTTATGATTGATGTGATCCTTGTATATATGGATATCTATACTCATAAATATATATGACTTTTTTCGGTCTACAAAGCGGACTGTTTTTATTTTTATCACCGAGGTTAAACAATATTCAGCCTTTCTTAATCGACCAATATAAGGCCCCCACCCATGAGCAATCCACCAACGGTGTGTGCGGTGCCGTCACTGTAGCTGGACTGCGCTTTGTCAATACAGTGACAAGTGATGGCCTCCCCATGCCACCACGTCAATCATTGGCGATGTTTTGTTGGACCATAGATCAACCGCGCGGGGTTGGTGCAGCAGGTACAGGCAGGGACCAGATTTAATATCACTCGCCAGTCGCCACTGATGTTAGCCCGTGGCGGAGGGGGGAATGTTACCCGTGAAATTGATGGCGTAGTGCTCA